GGCCCCACCTCCTCCTCCTGTCGTAGCAGCCGTTGCTGCTGCCCCGTCCGCCGCAGTCTCATCGGCGGCGGCGGCGGCGGCGGCGGCCAAGACGGTGGCTTCGGCGACGGAAGTCGCTGCCGCCGCTTCCGAGCAGGAGACTGCGCAGCCCTGCGTCCCCACCGCCGCCGCTTCGTGGCTGGCGGCGAGTTGCTCCGCCGGGTGGCCGGGGCCGTTCTTTTTTACCATGGTGATGGGGGGAGCGAGGTAGAGACCCGGACCTTTCTCGGCGGAGGCGTCCCGCAGCATGAGCGGGGGGAACTGGGCGTTGTTGTCGGCGGCGGTGACCCCCGCCACCGCCGCCGCCGCCGCTGGCATAGCGGCCGCCGCCCCTGTGTAGTTGTTGCCGTCCTTGTCCGTGGCGGTTTCTTCTTCTGCTGCTGCTGCTGCCGCCGCTTTGGCGTTCAACGGGAAAGCGGCGACGGCGTCGGCGGCGACTACCGCTGCGGCGGCAGTGGGAGTAGTAGCGGCGAGGATGGCCTGGAGGGTGAGCACGATCGGACGGCCCTTCCTGGGCCTCCCCTCCTCCTCCTCTCCGCCGCCGCCCCGCTCGGAACAGCCGCCACCGTACTGCACGGCATCATCATCATCACCATCATCCCCGTCATCCCCCGCCCAGCCGCGCACGAGGTGTGCCAGATCCTTAGCGTCGAAGTAAACACCTCGCATTTCGTTGCTCTTCCTGTTCAAATCATCGCCTGGCTTCTTAGCCGCCTGGCTAGCGCCACCGCCACCGCCGCCGCCGCCGCCGCCGCTGCCGCTTGCGGTCACGCCGAACAACCCGCTCTTGTCCCCCTTCACGTTGTAGGGGTAGGAGACGGTGCCGGCGGGCAGGGCGCCTTCATCGATCTCTCCCGCGGGTCCGAAGTAAGCCCACCCCGCCGTGCCGTTAAAGAGGGCGCGGCAGCCGTTGTGGGCATCGCCGGAGGTAAACGCCGACAGTTGGGGCGTCCAGTTAGGATCGTTGTTGCGGGAAGGACCCCCCATGGCCGGAGCAGCTGGGTGGCGAACCGCTCCTGTTGCTGCGGTGCTGCGCGAACGAACTCGAGCTCTCTCTTTCCGAGTGGGGCGCGCGACGTCCGCCTCCTTAGAAACAAGTCCCGTGGTGTCTCCAAAAAACGTTTGCGTGTGCTTCTTCAAGGCCGGTTCCAGCGCTAGCCTTGTTGATGCTGGTGACGAGTCTCGGGTTTGCTGGAGAGGTGACGGGGTGGGGTGGGGGGGGCGACATGAGGCACACCAGACAGCAGGAGCGAAACGTCAAATATGTGTGTAACGGGGGGTCAACTCCCACCCTCATGGCGATGTGTGTGGGTGGTCGTTCCGTATCTACAATACTCTGCCGCCGGTGTTCACACCTCTCGGTAATTGGCGGTACCTACAGCCAGCAAGATCATCAAACACAGACATCATTCTTGTCAGAAGTTTACTCGGTATGTAACCGCCAACCTGCAAAGTTTTCTGTTGATTTAACTTCTCCCGGTGTTTCATGTACGATACGCGACCCCAAAAGCTCAGTTGGCTCTTGTCACCGAAATTTCTCATCGAAAAACAAAAATGAAACTGATTCGAAAACTTGCCCGCTACGGCCACCGGACTTGCCAAGTACTTACAGCGTGGTCCGAAAGCTTTGTGGCGATATGACAAAAAAAAAGACAACATGAAACCATAAAAAAATCCAAAATTATATGCATATAAAGATCTGTCAGACTTTCTCTCTAATCGGACTTGCCTTCGTTACGGTCAACTCGTCTAGCTACCTACAGGCCGTGTTTACGATGCAAGCCACACGTTGGCATGACGAAAGTCGATGTTGTTTTCGACTTGGGTTTGGTATTGGATTTGGATTTCGATGTTCGGATGCAACCCCACGTAGTGCCAACCCCGCCTGCACACCCGTGTACATATAGAGCCGACCCGAAATCTAACGTAATTTAGCGAGATACACAAGCGGTCACGAAACTGCTCGTCTTGTTGAGCCAGATACCCACAGGGAAGCCATCGCCATATACGTTGTCGCCGGGGAGTCCTGGAAACGCTGGTAGCGAGTCCGCTGGGCTATGAATTAACAATTCTTTGCTACATATCCCGGACTCTTTGATCCTGCTTTCTGCTTTACGTTATACAGTGGGGGTCCCTCTATAGTGCGGGTATGTGACACGCGAAAAAACCCGCACTATAGAGGGCACCCGCATTATGTGCTTTCGGGCGGGACTGAATAGAGCGGGAAGGCGCACTCTTCAGGGTTTCAGAACCCTCAATAGTGCGGGTAGGCGCACTATCCACGGAATCACTAGGTTTTAGCATAGGACGTAGCCAAAAGCGAGGGATACTGTATGCAGGTGGCACGGTAGCGCATGTAACAAGTGAGGTAGGGAAAAATTGCAGTATCTCTACGGATAGAAGCCTGCATCCGTTCGCAAGTGAGCAGAGAACAGCAAAAGTTGCACATACATCGGGATGTACTGCACAGCAGCGGCAAACATTATACAACCACATCCTGTACTGCACAGAGATGTTACGCAATGTACGCTCTGTACCAAAAAGGAAGGCTGCGCACAGCCCATGTTGTTGTTCCTTGTTCCATTCTGCATTGATAGTTCCGCTTGCACATAATAAAAAACAAGGTTGGGCCTACAAAATGAAACCTGAACTTGCCAAATACGAAACACGTCCGTTCACAAACGAAAACGAACACCTTTTCAACACGACCCGGACACACCCACGGAGAAAAAAAGAGAGGGGGGACACTCCAAGAAAAATATAATAGAAACAAGGACCCAAAAAAAAATCCTACATTGTACTTCCCGCACGTTCTACCTCAAGTTTTCCAAGAAAACCCCACACAACACAACGCCATCTACGTTTGGGGGGGGCGGCTTTGAAGAAAAAACGGCAAAGTGAAACTCGCAGACAGACAGTTGACTCATTCAAACACCCGGCAGATCCACTACCAGCAAATTACAGCAGGAGCTGCGTGGGGCAAAACGGCTTGTTGCTCTACGCATAAAAAAACTCCCTAACATCGGCCTGGCGCGACGGCTTCGATGCATGCGCTTCGATCATCAACATCCGTGCCCTCTTGAGCAAGTAGCTGGCCTCGTTCAAGCTGCACCCTGCCGCGTAGCTTTCCAGGGGGGCGAAGTGTTTGGAAAGTTTGGAGGAGAAGCACGCCGGACAGAGGCGGTTCATTTCGTTCTCGCCGTCCTCCTCCACCTCGCCGCATATACCATGCAGTCTGCCGCCACATCCTCCTCGACATTGGTGGCCGTCGGGGGCTTTGGGTGTGAGGTTGCTAAGTTGGCAGAGTTCGCCTGCTGCACACGGCATCCTGTGCCTCTGCTGCTGTTCCTGTGGCCAGTAGGGGTATGCTGCTGCTGCTATGCGTGGCCGGTAGGGGTATGTGTGTGTGTGCTTTTTTTTATTATTATTAGCATCGACCGCGCTAACCGGCTGACCAATGAAAAGACGTCAGTGCCAACGGGTAAAAATCAAGGTCCCTGGAATGTGGCCAAAATTCGAAAAATGCGCAATGCGCTAAATGCGAACGCCAATACGACTGTGTGTGTGTGTCGGGAAAATGTGTGGGTTGGCTGTCTAGGTTTGACCGCATCTAGGCGGGTGGTGACGTGGCGTGACGTCAAATCCGCACTATATAGGGTCTTGAGAGGGGTCAAACCCGCACTATAGAGAGGGTGCCCCGAATAGTGCGGCACCCGCACTATAGAGGACCCAATTTTTGCCAAGCGATTTCACCCGGACTATAGCGGGCACCCGCACTATATAACCCGCACTATAGAGGGACCCCCACTGTAGCCTCTTTTCCGGCAGAGCGCTCATACGTAGGGCAAAAATTATGTTGGACCGGAAGAACAAGAACAAAAATAAAAATCATCGAATGATGCCGTCCTCCCACCAATCACATGTCGATTATGTAGGACACTATGTTGGACAGACACAGCTAATTGATCGATGGGCACGACGCTCTCGGGAGAATCCCCGAAATCCTCTTGCACAGCAGCACCACACACACCATGCAGAGAACATACGAGACAACCAGCACAGCAGCATACGGACCGCTGCAGGCCAAGAGCAGCCAAAGGCACACATCATAGGAGGCGTTGGGTGTGACTCTTGCAAGCCCGTTTGCCTGCTGTCGGCAGCACAAGCGAGCGAAGACGCAAGTCAATCTGCGGTTCGTCTGCATCACCTCAACCTTCCGATCTTTGGAGCTTCCCACACAGACGCATCCGCACACAAGAGAGACAACGAGACGTACACACTGCTGTAGCCTAAGGCCGGCCAAAGGCACACGTCATGGCTGGCGTCGGAAGCTATTTTTAGACCCCGAGGCCTGTGCTGCTAGCAGCACAAGCGAGGGAACCTGCGAGTGCACACAAGTCAAATCTGTCTGCGGTCTGTTCATCAGTAGGCCGCGATCTTTAGTTCCACCACAGGAGCACCCCCGACACAGAGACAAGTGAGACGTACACAACGCTGTAGGCCGAAGGCGACCGAATATACACATCGTAGGAGGCATCGGGGGCGATTTTTAGAGCCCGTTGCCCGCTGCTGGCAGCGAAAGCAAGGAAAGCAAGTGCACACCCACATCCTGCACGGCGACAGCATCCACAGCAAGCAGCAGCAGCAGCAGCAGCAGCATCAAGCAGTACATGATGATTATGAGAGCTAAACAGCGCTCTCAGTCATCCCCTGACGGACTGGTGGTATCGGGTGAGGTGTGAGCGTGTGCACTGGTGACCTCTGTGGTGGCGTAGGCTCCATCCATATCTATCTGCACTTGCTTTGATGTCTCTCTCCGCCCCTTTTCGCGCGAAAATATGTATATATATATTTTTTGGTTGGACCCCTATGTATGGGCGTGGAGCGTCTTTTCTTAGAGATGGATTCGTTGGGTCATACTAAGAAAAACAAAAAACAAACAAGAGGCAAGAGGGTGGGATGTGTTTCCTTGTCGGTGTTGAAGTTGTCGATGGCCGCAAGACGAGAGCCGAGCAGCACTCCTATTACTACTGCCGCAGGCATAGATATAGGCAGCAGAGGCGATCGTATCCTGCTTGATTAAAAAAAATAGAGTCAGCGTGCATACGCATGCAGCAGCCGCGTCGCGGGTTGAACTGCAGTATCCGGGGGTGCGTGCTGAATGATATGTCATCCTGGTACAAATACTATTAGAAATAGTTGGTCCGACGGTGCTATTATCGTGAGTTATCACACCGTGTTGACGTTCGAAACCAAGAGCAATAAAGGCAGCCGAGCCGGCCTTCGCTTCGGTCTTCGCTTGCTAACATACAGGAGCGCGAAAAACGAAGGGTGTGTGTGACGTGTGTTGTAGGATCCTGAAGTTGCAGTTCTCGAAGGAATCTACTACCGTAGTCTAGACGAAGAGAGCCGGTGTTGAGACAACATTGATGTGCCGCAAAAAAATTACGAGGGTATTTCATCGTGTTGTCGCGTCTCCGACCGCACACAACCGTAAGCGAGCGACCGACGCCAGCGCGTGTACCGAGCCTTCTCTGTCTAACGGTGATGACACCCCAACACCCATGTGGGACAGTGGTAGATACTAAATACTGCTGCTGTGGAGCGGAAATCTACCTGCCACGTGCGTTTTGTTGAACACGCCGCCTTTCTTTGCTCGGAACTTCCCGGAGGAAAAAAACCACAAAGCACGCTTTTTCTTGTTTCGCGAGACGGCGACAGGTTTTCTCTGCTGCGTCCTAAGCCCTCTCCCACGGATAAGGAGGCCCAAGCGGCAGCAGGTGTCAGCAGTGATGCACCTTTTGACGGGCTCCGAACAACGTCGTCATAATCTACCACGCAGGAGGAAGGAGGAGTTTCAGAGAAGCAAAGCGGCGAACTACCGTAAATACTGCTGCTCTGCTGCTGTGTCTCGCTCTCACCTCGCTTTATCTCTAAGAGACGCGACGCTCCGGTGGATAGAAGTGTCCCCAGATTACCAAGAAGCCTGTTGCCACGTGGGGCAGGTGGAGTGAGGGATGGAGAAATGATGTGTGCGCGAGTGCGCGAGCAGGTTTTTCTCTCAGGTGAAGAGTGAGGGACGAAAACTCGAGATTGCACCGCATTTTATTGAACCCGCCCTCGGAACGTTCTTTGAGGATTGAGATCAATCGATCAATCACTGAGAGGCACGTTTCGGTCCTCTTGGCTGCCGTAAGCTGTAAGCTGCCTACTTCTATTCTTTGAACAAGAGGAACATCCCGAGGCTCTTTTGGGCTGTATGCCCTGGGCCTGTTCTTTGTGGTTGTTGTTCGACGAGCGAGGAACCCAGACACTTTATAAATGTGGTTCTTATACATACAGACAAATAGAGGGAGCTGACCGCTGGGTTGTCTAAGATACCACACCCCTAGCAATCCATTCATTCCAACGGCCGGTCGAAGAGGATACATGATGCCAAAATGAAACGATAATGTATTTTCGGAAAGCTCTCGACAAGACTGCTTGTTCCAACGCCACCATGTTCTTCTGCACACCGTCACTGCCTTGCCTCCGCTGCAGAGTAACTAAGCTTTGAAAGTCGTAGCAGGGGGGTGGTATCTTGTGCAACATGTACGTGTACCTCTCTCCCCCGTTTCATCGTATAATGTACTATACAAGTATTGTTGAAAGCAAGCCGACAAATATCGTCGGCGTTGCTAGTCCCAAGCTTTTTATTTTTATTTTAGTCGCGTGTTGCGCGTGTGCTGACACCACGAACGGGAAGGACCTCAATTAGCCGACACACTACGCAATAATGGTCGTGATGGACGCGGGTACGCAATAAAAAAACAACACACACATCCGATCCTCGGGAAACACGAAATGCAACGTCTACATACACACTGTCTGTCCCTTGTACACACGGTAGGCACTCTGTCTGTCCCTTTAACACGGTACGTACTGCTTTTGCCTACCACTCTCGTCCTCTCGTCCGCATCAACAACAAACAAACAATGCAACTTGCCGCACACCAAGAGCCATCCCTGCAGGAAAAAAAGCTGTACAAACAAGCAAAAAGCAGCTCCTGCTGCTGTAAGCTGCTGGGGTATGTACCATTTTTCAGCACGCACGAACAACAGATACAGCACAGGCGAAGGAGCTGAGTCTGCCTGTCTGTGTCTGCGTCGGCGTGAGTAGGGGTGGGTGTGAGGTATCGCATCGATAGAGTAACGACAGGATGCTTTTTTTTTTATTCTTCTTAATATGACAGAACGAATCCATCTCCATCATAGAAAAGAGTCTGAGACAGATTAGCAATGAATTCATTGTGTATGGCATCTCGACGGGTATCGTCGTCAACAACAACAACAACAACATTTAAAACTGAACTAATGGGTGGTGGGGGGATGACCGGCGGACCCCAAAAAGCAAGCTGAAAAAAAAATAAAATATAGACTATGTTAAGAAAAAAAAGAAGAAAAACACACACACACAAAACGCCCGACCAGTACCTAACACATATCATCTGCACCTTCCCAACATAACATATATGAGACACACAAGACAACCACCAAACTGTCTTGTTGAGCCTGTTACCCGCAGGGGAGATGTCCCTATATGCTGTCTGGGAAATCGTAGACATACAGGTACTTTTCTGACGCTATGAATCCATTGCTAATCCGTCTCAAACTCTTTTCTATGATGGAGATGGTTTCGTGGTGTCATATTAAGAAAAAAAAAAAAAAAGAAGGGACGACAAAGACAAGTGAGCCAGACGCGACAGGCTTTAGGGAGGTGGCAAAAGAGAGCATACGAAAACCACCGTCGCCGCTCTGAACCGCTGGAAGCTGTCACATAGCACAGCATGCAGCAAACAGTATAGGGGCCATGCCCCCGTTGCTTCAAGTAAAGAGGCAGCGCCCATCGCCTCACATACAGCAGCCGGGTACGTACTACACAAATAGCCTCTTCTTACTCAGCAAGAGAAGCAAAACGATTGCGGTTGACGTTCGATGTTGTTGGGACCCCAACGGCGATAATAGGCGAGAGAGAGACAGGTGCTACTACTACGTAGACCAACAGAAGAAAGCGTAGAGAAGGCATTAATTAACTCTCGAGACCCTAACCCTAACCCTAACCCTAACCGAAGACACTCACTCTCGTCCCTGTGGCCCACCGCAGGCTGTAACGAACGGCGACATCCGATGTGCGCTCAGCAACAACAAACGCAACAAACCAAATATAGTCGCCGTTTCCGAACTAACTGTGGAGACTCTCTTTCATCACTTGTGGTATGAAGTATGAAGTGACAACGAAATAGAAAATGATGACGAGAAGCACCACGGACGAACTATTTTCTCAATACGCTTGCCGTCGCGATAGACGCGCACCGTTCCACGAACGACCAGTTGTCAAACCTCACTACGCAAATAAGATTGTCCTGCCATCTACCCCTTATCGCTCAAATTACGACTACGCAGCACACTAAAGGTAAGGCAGCAACACGCTTGCGATGCTTTACCACCCATCCATGCATGTAAGGGAAGAAAAAAAAAACTATGGCGGACCGTCTCTGTTGTCTGTATCTTCAACCGTGCTGCCGTTGCTTTTCTTCATGGATATCGGCACAGAGAAAAAATGAGGAATGCGCATCTCCTACGCGAGCACGGCGTGCAGCCCAAGCGACAGAGACGATAACCTTATGACCTTTGCAGCATCTTCCGAGCATAACAGCAGCCACCGCATGTGCACAACGGTCACTATAGACTAAGGAAGAAAATCACAAAAGAAAAAAATGAAGACGACTCTTAGACTATACAAAAAGATCTATAAATAGAGGACCCTCAACGACAAGTCAACCAATCTGTCTGGTCGTTCCGAGGTGACGATGTAACGCAGATCTTCTTGTCGACGGAGAAACTGGTTATCGCCCCACAGCAAGCGATAGCTGCTCAAACGGCTGTGAGAGGTCTTGAAATCGTCTCAGCTACCCAGAACTGCTGGTAGTTCTCGGAGGTTCGCAGTGTGGGCTGAGATCGGCCTTTTCGACCCGGTCGGGCAAGGGGTCCGCTATGCTACTGAAAACTCCACAGACGGAAAAAAAAGACTTTTGATCGACTGAGACCCAAGCTAGAGCTTGGGAACCTTCTCCTGTTTCTGGTGGTACTATGGATAATGTCGAGAAAAAATCTCAGCCTACCAATGATGGCGAAACAACCGCTCGACATCGGCACTCGACATCTGCTCGACTCCGGACTCCATGACTCTCGACTCTCGACACAGCAGTCAAAGTGTGCGATCACTCCTTTGAACTTTATTGGACTGCACGCAGAAGATTGCAGAGACAGGCGTTGAAATCTGAGTTTTATGAGGAGCGGAAGATAAAATATCTGTTGGCCAATCAGAGAGCAGCAGCATTGAGTCAGCGTGAAAGTGTTTGAAACCTGACTTGAAGGGTAGACTTGGGGGCACTTGTTGGTCTGCCCCAAGGAAGCACGAGGGAGGCTGCTGCAGCCAAGAGGTATTTCGGAGGAGATCTATTTCTTTGCGTGGGCTGCGTGCTGCTCTCTTCCCGTGCGCGTGGGCGTCTGGGGGCATTCACATATCGGCTGGAACTGGAGGTTGAATCTTCGTGGCTCTTGGTTGCATCAATTTAAATTTGCGCCATGTCCGCGGAGCACAAATCGCAGGAGACGGAGGAACGTCTTGGTGTGCACCGCAGTGACGGAACTACTGGCGGTGAGGCCGAAGTCGTCGTTGGGGACGGGAGGGGGTGCGTCTCTCCCGCGGCCGTCCCAGGTCGTGGCGGGCGCGGTGGCGGCGGCTGTGCGGGCTGCCGCCGGGGGCGTGGATTCACCAGCAGGTGACGTGGCTTCAACAACCACGCCATCCTCTGCGGAGGTGGGGGCTGCCAGGAGCGGTGGGCTTCAGACTCAGGGTCGCGATCGGGCCTCGGCTGCCGACGGTGCCATCCCGCCGGCACCCCGGCGTGCTGATGACCCCGTCCAGGCACACACCTCATGTCGCGTTTGGCCCATCTGTCGGTGGGTGCGGCGGGGGCGGGAGAGCCCAGCGAGGGCACCCCGCTCGAGTCTGAGAATGCGGAGAAAATCGCTCGTCTGGAACAAGGTCAGACGAACATGGTGGCTCAGCTTACCGAGATTGCTGGGTTGCTGAAGAACTTCCGGCCGGAGTCGGGGCGGGCTGAGATTGGTGGGCCCGGGGGGTCGGGAGGCCTCGGTCTGGTGCCGGTGCCGTCGCCGTGGGGCGGAGGCGCGGGTGGGGGGGCGAATGCGCCCTCGAGGTCCAACGCCAAAGAGGAGGCGAGGAGGGAGGCCACTATTTGGCAAGCC